TTCTACTTCAGGGGGAAGGATACTGCAAAATCCCCATTCACACCCCACTCCAGGGGAAGAAAACTGCAAATTCCCCATTCCCTCCCCACTCCTGGGGAAAGGATACTGCAAAATCCCCATTCCCTCCCCACTCCAGGGGGAAGGATACTGCAAAATCCCCATTCACACCCCACTCCTGGGGGAGGATAGTACAAAATTCCCATTCCCACCCTATTCCAGGGGGAAGGATACTGCAAAATCTCCATTCCCTTCCTACTCCAGGGTGAAGAAAACTGCAAAATCCCCATTCCCTCCCCACTCCTGGGGGAAGGATACTGCAAAATCCCCATTCCCTCCCCACTCCTGGGGGAAGGATACTGCAAAATCCCGATTCTCTTCCCACTCCTGGGGGAAGGATACCGGTTCACCAGAACCTGTCAAAACCTGCTGGATTTTGCCCCTGCAATGGCACTAAAAAAAGTGACTTATGGCCATTTTTCACACGGATTACCACTGCAGCATCTCCATGGTCAAGTGATTCACAATTCAGACTGTTGGCAACTGGCATGTGTCCCGAGGTCATGTGATCACCTTTTATGACCTTTTGAAAAGCAAAGTCAACAGGAAACTCAGATTCACTTAACAATGGTAGTGATTCACTTAACAATGGTGGCAAGAAAAGTTATAAAATGGGGTAAAACCCATTTAAACAGTTGCTTACCAACAGGAATTTTGTCCTCTGTTCTGAAATTAGGACTACCTGTTCTATTTTTCATTTTAAAATATTCCTAAAGATGTGATAGAAATATATACAAAAGCAAGATTTGAATCAGCTCTTTAAAAAATAAAGAAAGTACATGTCCCCTATATATTTGATCCATACCGATATCCTCACTTAATGACCGGTCACTTAGTGACTGATCAAAATTATGCTAGATCTCCTCCATAAGGTACTTATGACTCAAGTTTGAAATTCTGACAGCTGCACCCACTCTCAGCAATCACGTGATTGCAATTGGGCTGAAGCTCATATTTATGGCAATTTGCAGTGTCCTGTGGTCACTTGTCTATGATTTTTGACATTTTTTTCCTGGTTTCTGACATTTACTATTGTATATCTGGTTTTGAATCTCCTGCAAGTCCCTTGGACTGCAAGGCAATCAAACTGGTCAGTCCTAGCGGAGATCAACCCTGACTGCTCTTTAGAAGGCCAGATCCTGAAGAGGAAACTCAAATACAACCTGATGAGAAGGAAGGACTCACTGGGGAAGAGCCTAATGCTGGGAAAGACTGAGGGCAAAAGAAGAAGGGGACAACAGAGAAGGAGGTGGCTGGATGGAGTCACTGAAGCAGTAGGTGTGAGCTTAAATGGACTCCAGGGGACAGGAAGTGTTAGATCGAGTAAAGGAAGCACACAAAGGTTGCCGAGCAAATGAAGGAGGTGCTGTACAATGGGTACAGGGTATGCGCTTTGTTGTAACGCTTTATTAATTGTACATTTATAGTCCGCACAGATACGGACACACCTATCTGGCTTGACAGGTGTCACAATTGGCATTTCCCAGCGTGCGTGATCTACTGGTTCTAAGATGTCCTGGCTCACAAGCTTGTCTATTTCTTTGTCTACTTTAGGGTGGAGAGTGAAGGGTACTCTCCTGAGCTTTAGTCCAATTGGGGCTTTTGTGGGGTCTAAGTTAAAGGAAATAGGGGTTCCTTTGTACTTACCAGGACCAGTACCAAAAATGTCCTTGAACTCCTTAAAGATGGGGTCAGTGCCAGTGCTGAAAACATCCTCAAACTCTTTAAAGATTGCTTCAGCATCTTCGTCCTTCACAGAGTTGATGCCGGTCACTTTCATTCCTAAAGTTTGGAACCAGTAAACCCCCAGGAGGCTTTGGAGGTTTCCGCTGACCACAGTCATGGGAAGATTTCCACTGAAATGTTTGTAGCTCACCTGGAAGGTGCTTTGGCCCACGATGGGGACTTGGTTCCCCTGGTAGTCATGCAGGCGGACGTCAGGGTTTCGGAGATGACATTTCTGTAGCTTTGGGATTGCTTGCTTGAGGACTGACCATGGAATTATGGTCAGTGATGATCCGGTGTCGATCTCCATTTCGCATGGGGAGTCCTCGATGAAGACAGTGACCTTCAGCTTTTTGGGGCACCTGCTACAGATTTGTCTAACCGGGACATTGACATTCAGCTTCCTCAGGTGCCTGAAGCGGATTTGTGTGACCGACGTATGTTGGCGACTCTGTCATCACTTTCTGATAGTAGTGAGTACTTTTGCCAAGCCCCTGGTTTGGACCGCTGTTGGTGGCTTTGCGACCCTCTGGGATGTCTGATGGCAATAGGGAATTCACTGCAGCACACCTTGGCGATGTGCCCCTTTCGCTCGCATCGCTGGCAAGTTGCTTCGCGAAAACGGCAGGATGCTCGGGCATGGTCTCCTCCACAGCTGGAGAAGATTGGAGTTTGGGAGTTGAATTTTCGCGCCAGCTTGTTGCAGCTACTGCTCATGCGGTAGCTGTCATCCTCCCTGCATTTGGAGCTCTCGGGCTCAGTGGTCTCACGATGTACACAGATACTTTTCTGTGCATTTTGAGGGGTGCTCTGGTGCTGTAGGGTTTCTGTCGACTTGGCGGCTGATTCGGATGCCCTAGCCTCATCAAGTGCGATCTGCAGAGAGAGGTTAGACTTAGCAAGTAGCCTCCTCTGCAGAGTGATGTCTCGCACGGCGCAAATTATGTTGTCCAAAATCAGCTTGTCCAGGTCTTGGAACTCACAGTAGGCTGCGGCTTTTCGGAGCGCTGCTACATACTCATTGATGGATTCTCCCTCCTTCTTGTTCCTGATGTTGAATTCGTGCCGGTGAACATATTTAGATGGCTTAGGCGCGTAGTGAGTCTTCAGTGTTTGTTGCAGTGCAGACCAGGACACCGCTTGAAGTGGTGTTGGTTCCGAGAGATTTTTTGCCGTTTCGAACACTTCCCAGCCACAGTAACCCAGGAACATGTTCTTTTTATGGGCTGTAATGCCATGAGATTGTTCGCTTCCAGGAAACACTTGAATCGTAGCATGTATGATTCCCAGTGTTCGATGACTGGATCATACAGAGTTGGTGGGGCATGCATAGCCATTCTGATTCTATCTTGTTGTTCTGCGATGGCTTGCTCAATGCCGCACAGGATGCTCTGGGCTGGATGTACCTGCAAGGCTTCGTTTGCTCTCTTTGTTAGCCTAGTTGCCTTCCAATCCCACCTTCGTCATCAGTGTTAGATCGGGTAAAGGAGGCACACAAAGGCTTCCGTAACAACAGCTCTTTATTGCAAGTCAAGTAAACATCCGGAGTCAGAATGGTCTAGCAGCATCCCCTTTTAAAGGGATCTGTCAGACCTCTTGACCAATGGGATTCATCCTCTGTTCCCACCAGAACAGAGGACCTTGGTGGAAACCTCTGTCAGTCTGTCAGCGGGGGAGGGGATATCTAACAGGAAGGCCTGGAGGAATGTTGTTCAAGGTGTTGCGATGGGTTGGACACGACTTCACAACTAACAACAACAATCTGGTTTGGTATATTGTACCAAAATCCATTTGGTATAATAACTTCACATAATGACTGCCATGTTTATTTAACAACCATGTCACTCACTTAACGATCAATTTAAAAAATAATAATCAAAACCAGGCACCGACACAGGGCCACCTGCTTAATAAGTGCTTGTACACTGTATTTATGATCTTAATTTCAGGCTTAGCTAAGTCATAAGTCGAAGACTAGCGGTTCAACGTAAAAACAATTATTTAAAATAATGCAGGAGAACCAATGTAAAAGCATATGTTTTTAAGATGTAGAAAGCACTTCAGCTTTATGCAGACTATATTACGAAAGAGATGGTTTTCTAGACAATTGGGGCCACCACAAAGAAAGTCTGTTTCCACATTACTGCTAATGGGCAATTTGCAAATGTCAGCACAGAGCGCAAGATGTTTCCTAAGGACAGTAGGTTTCTGAGAGGCTGATATAATTTAAGATATTCTTTTAATATTTTCTTATTTTACGGAGGGTGCCTTTGACCCTGAATTGGCCTTCAGTTTGTTTCCTCTCTGACTGCCAATAACCTTGATGCACACAGATTCTCTTCCAACTTCGGGCACATACACATCCCTCTCTTAGTTCAGAGATATTTCTTTCCATTGGAGGTTGGGTCAGCAAATGTTCCTCTGAGTACAGAATCAGAATGAAACCATGATCGCATCTGACTCTGTGTGTGGAGTCTCCTCTGACAAATGAAGGTTCCAACCCAAAAAGGAATCTCAGTTCAAGACTGTTAAAGAGTAACCCACTGCTTGGGTTCAAATTCTGCGAATTCTGCTTGCTCGTCACTGTGACTAA